AAAAAAAAAACCTACATGGCGTATGTTTAGCTGCAAAACGATAATGCCGTTTGAGAGCACGCCCAAATAAAATCACAGAAAGAAGCCCAGTGAGCGTTTCGAAAGCCAACACCTGAACACTCGATAATAAAAAAAATGTCAGAAATGTTCATTCAGTTCAGGAACTTAAAAACAAAACTGACAGCGAGCTGCACGCAGTGCAGAACCAGTCGTCCAATGTAAGCATCTTCGGGACTGCGCGTGAACGCAGGATAGGTTGCAGCCTGGTAAACAAGGTTAATGCTCGAGCACGTCTTCTCCAGGGCGCACGTGAAGCATATGAAGCCGAGCACGAACTGCGCCGAGAGCTGGGTGCTGCAATCCGTGTTTTATTGTTTGCTTTCAAAAAAGGCATTATTTGCCAGGTTCAGCATTTTCTACTCCCTGGGGCCCTTATCTTTACCTGTGGAATGCAATTATGCCAGGCCAGAACCATGAATATGAATATGTCAAAGTCAAAACTTCCTTCGTTTTAGCTCACTGTAAAAAACAAGGCACTTAGAAATATTCGCATTGGCAGCAAGTGCTAAGAGCAATCACTCGCTGGCAAAGCAGTCCATGGCTCTGTCTTTCTAGGACTGCTCAAGAACAAGCTGATGGTGGATTTAATTTTCTAGCATATCCCAGTACCAATTTGTCATCAAAATGAATGAATACGAATCGTACCGATAAAGACCTTAGATTTCGGGCGGAGGTTTTCAAAATCGATAGACAGATCAGTTGTGTCACAAGCAGATTCGAACCCACGACCCTCTCCACTGCCCCTCGGCGAAAATACCTGATTACTTCAAAAAGGCTACCTGGAATGTACCATGTATAATAAACCAGTGGCAAATATCAATACGGTAAGCCAAAATAAATCAGCGCCAATATAATTGGCGTTCCAAGATACGTCGACCAAACCAAGTACCACCAGTGCCATCAAAAACAGCGCCCAGATAAGATGCAATAGACCAAGACATCTGAAAATCTCTATCCAAACAATACAGCATTCTTATTCCATTTTTAGCTTCTCTCCAATACACACCTGGACAGTTTTTGTCAATCTTAAAACATAAATTGACAATAAGGGGTAGTGCAGCCAGTATTTTCAGGAACAAGATAATTTCAGAAAATTTCTGACAAAATGAAAATTTTATTAATCGCAAGCCAGAACAGCCGCTGAGCCGATTTTAGCAAACGAAAGGAATACCAGGATCACAAGAAGGCTGACCGCCATGTGATGCAGCATTGGTCAAAGCAACCATAAAATAAAGGAAGAAAATGGCATATTTGTTGGCTAGGCCGCTGGTGAAACAGATTAATGGACTAGTGCAAGCCTCAGTTATTCAAGTGCAAGTATTTTAATGCATACCTGCTCTGTACAGCGATGCTCTTCTCGACAACTGCGTTCTCATGATGATATTCGTACTGTACGCATTTTCCAGCTTGCAGCGCAGTCAACAAGTTCAGAGCGAAGAGAAGCGCGAACAGGCCCACCAGGATGCCTTCGACGATGATGATCGCATAACTCACATCCACCATTACAGTCGTCATTGGTACTAGAATAATAATACTTTGCGGTAAATTAAGGGCACGAAGTTCCCCCCAGACAATCGATGTGATGTCGCTTTTTTTTAAATTAAGTTTGCACTTATCTGACTAAAAATTTCACTTTCAAGCTACTAAACTTCAAAAATGAAGATGCTGAGAAGCATGAAGATTTGATTTTCCAGTAAGGGTGCTGTATGTATCATTGTATGTTAAAATAAGGAAAAAAAATTTGAAGTGTACATCGGGTTTCGTTCGGCCTAAATCCTCGCCACATCTGGATATCATCGTAGTAATATGGATGCATGCCAACATCCAGCGATTTCAAGCACCATACTGCTGCTACTATAGCTACACCGATTGCAACCTGTAATGTAATTTTTTAAATATTATAAAAGTGGCAAAACAAGATGGCATTGCTCAAAACACACCGTTAAATTTCGAAGTGGCGAATGCCTTGTCAGACTGCTTCTTCTTTCTGTAACCCTTACAAGAATGAAAAGAATTTCAGAATCGCCAGAGGACTGGCCAGAGCTGATGCGGTACTGGTCAAAATGGGTGTGAAATGAAGCGGAAAGAGAATGGCATGGTTGTCGGCAACATCACAGGGAAACATTTCGGACAAGAATCGATAGCGAATCAGTAGTGGTTTTAAATATTAAGTATCATAAAAGCAAAATAATGGATGATAAAGCATACGATATCAAGCGAGCAAAGATTTTTAATGAAATAAAAACAATGAGGGAGCTATTAACATTCCTACCAGCGAGTGGTTGCTGTTGGCACATGCAACTAACTGCATTACTTTCGCAGCGCCTTCATTTCTCGTAGATACAAAGTTACAGACAGTAATTTTTGTGACTTGTAACAACTCACTAAACTATTTCAAACCTTATAGTTGGCGGCCGGTTGTCGGTTGATGACTGCCGAGTGTAAATCCACGATTGCGCTAGTGATGGCCAACAGTGCAGTGATGTGATCCAGTCCAATCACCACAAATGCATCTGTGCCCAGCACCTGCAACAAAATCTCCGATATCTCCCGGAGCACACCACTGCGCAACTAAACTTGCCGTTAAGCAAAGCTCTGCTGATGCTAATGCTCGGTGTAAAGCTTCTGCATATACCAAGATGGCCGGGAAGCCAGTATGGGTAACTTGTGTTAGTGATATGCTCAAAAGCCGGGAACACCTATGCCAGGCCCTTCGATCCTGGGCCATATACCTCCAGTAACCAACCGCCTGTTCAATGTATATGTGCCACCTCTTCGAAAGCTGCCCAAGTGGTCATTTACTTTTTCACAGGTACCGTCACTACTAATTGGCTCGTGACACAGATAGTAATTTACTTGGTTCTTAGTAATGGTCTTGCAGGAAAAGAAACACGTACCTAGGTAAGGTCTTAGGTAAAGAAGTACATATCTAGGTAAGCCTTTCTTGCAGTCGATAGGATTTTTGGAAAAAAAAACACTTTTGCATAAAATTTTGCCCTAATGCTAGATTTCTTGCATGAACAGCAAAACATACCAACTGGTGGTCGTATTCGAGAAATATTGCAAGAGCGAGAGCACCTAATGCCAAAAACAATTTTATCGCAGCGAAGGCGGTTAATTTCAAACGACTTGCACGGTACTTCTTGTCCTGATCACGCTACAATTACAACGATGAGTTTAGCTTTTACATTTCAAAAAACTCTTTTGATTTCAGTGAAAACATGAGCTGCTGAAGCTAATTGTGGCCAATGAAAAGGGATGAAACGATAAAATTCAGACAAGGTTATATGGAAGCGGGAAAATCGAGAGTAAGCATGGAGAAAAAGATTCAGTTAGAAAATTAGAGACTGCTACTTTATATCCCGCCGTAAACGCTTATCCTCCTACTTCTATCCATATTCGCAAGTCCTCATCACCCTTTCACGTCAAAAGCACACGTGTGGCCTATACTATTATGACGCCAGCTGCCAGCCTTTGTTCTCTTGTTTTCACTTCCCAAATGATGGATATCAAATTCTCTTCCAAAGCAATTTATAAGACAAAAATTTCTTTCCGGGAAAATTACCGAGTACTGTGGCCAAGTGGGTTGCGTGACGATGACGAGCCGGTCGAGAAGTGCAGCGGCGATGACGGCAGCCAAGCAGGCCCCAGCAGGCACAACGATCATCAGCGAGCAGATGAACAGCTTGGCCACATATTTATTTCTGATGCTAGCATATTGTATCTCGAACTGTGGCCCCGCAATGCCAGATGCTAAGAAATCGTGGATGCGTACTATCTGAAAAATGATTCAAGAATCAAAACCCCTATCTCCTATTCTTCATTTCCCACAAAAGACGAAGGAAGTCGGGAAGTAGCCTAAGCGGTAGCAAATGCCAGCAGTAATCACCAACTCGACGGCCCATTCGAGGTTACTCACATGGCGAATTCGACTTCTTGGTACCATCTGAAATGGGTACGGCCGATTAACGGCCAGCTTACGGAGATGCGCTGAATCCAAGTACAACACCTGTTACGCCAATTGAAACACAAAAAGCGTTTTGGACTATTATCCGGAATGATCGGTTGGGATAGCCGGAGGTAGTGAATTGCAGATAAGTTGCGCCACAGCAGCTGGAGCGATTCTGCCATGCATTAGCATCAGTGATGAGTGCAAATGTAGCAAGTTTCGAGCACAAACTTAACACCGAGAACAACTAGAATCGCCCGGGCAACCAGTGTCCTTGTTTCGTGTTAATGATAAAATCAGTGTCAATATTTCATGCTGAGTTACTCTATTGTTTCAATACATCCGACGCAGCTATGCCAGGTCCTTCGATTGTGCACTTCTAGTTGGTACTCATCGCGTGTCCGTATTTGTGCACCATCCTTTTCGTGAGTTCTGAATGGTCGTTTACTTTTTCTTGCGTACCACTCAATAATTCATAACATTCACCGGCTGCCAGCAAGGTGAGAAACGTGCTTGTCCAGTGAATTTTACTTTCACACTCGTTCGCAATGACTTAGTCATATGGATAAAGCGTGTCATTTCTGACAGTACAACGAAGTCATACTCTGTAAAGCGTGAGGCAGTAGAATGCTGTAGAGTAGATGGCAATAACAACTGATACGCAGTACAGTGTCTTGGCCACAATAATCCCCTGATTCCGGGCCAAAGTATACAGGCCTACTAGACCAGTAAGTACATAGATCCAATTCAGCAACCGTAAATCGATCTTTCTGAAAAGCACATGTCATTAGCTTTAGTGTTGCTGAAATGCCAAACTAGTGGGGGAAGGGGGAAATTCCCCATTTTCTGCTCAAAATTTTTATTTTCAAGTTTTTTTTTCTTGATTTGTACTTAATACATCCAAGCATTTCACTTTTGTGGCTCGCCACTGCAAAAATTTTGTTTGCAATTCGGAAATCATGATAATTCTAGCGAGAGGCAAACAAATTTCCTGCTATTGGCAAACTGCACGTGTTAATGTTATTAGCTCCCCCTAAATATATATACATATTTAGACATATATATATTACAGTAATTATGTGTTGACATACAGTTGCCGTAAAGCGGTAAACTTACGGACGCAGAAAATGAAACGTAAATTTCCTCTACGGTCAGAAGGAACAAAACGATGAAACAGCAGCTGTTTCGAGTACCACACTGGACATGTTTATTGTATGGTTAATAGTTTGGTAACTTACCGGTAATTTCCGAGCGAGACCTCGGAGAACTGACTGCCAGCAAGGCCTACAGCCGTCAGACCAACGATGATCAGTATTACATTGCATGTCTGCAAAACGAAAGCAATCATTCGAAGAGTATAGCAAAGCCAGAAATTTTCTGATAACCAGAAATGATCGAACAGAATTACGTTGGATTAAAAACAGGGCCAGTAGAAAATTGCAAAAACAGCAGAATCGAAAAATGCTACGAAATACTAAGGTACTGGGAATGATATCAGGCCGCCGAAGTACTAAAAATACCAATCCCCACTTTCTGGAAAATCGAAATGACTCTTCTTAGTGATATTACTGAATATCTGAACAAAATTTCAGCTGCTATTTTCCGGCTAGTTTTCGATTTAGCATTACTCTGAAACGCCTATCACAACTACGCCTGACTATTCACACTTCCTGAGTTTCATACTTCCAGTAGTACTAGTTGTTCGATGCACGTATGTCATCTCTTCGGGAGTTGTTCAAGCACTTCTTTACTTTCTCCGGGGTATTTTTTTCGTTCTTTGCGCGACGTGTAGTGGCTGTCAGCAAAGCAACCAACAGCTTGCCACGAATGCAAAACTACCTTGCATGATGGTCAAATGTGACAGCAAATCTAATTGTTTAATATGATTTGCAGTGCCATTACTATTTTGCTTGTATCATTTTTAAATTATCGTTATTTATCATTGTTTGATGAACACTAAATTGTTTGATGAATTTTTGTTTGTATTTTTTTCAAATTACGTTATTACCGTAGTGTTTAATGGAGTTGCAGCGTGCTCCAGTGTTAATCCGATGTTTACATATCTCGTAAAACGGAACTTTTTAGGGAAAAGTAAACTGCTTTCTCAGGGAAATGAGTCAACGAACGGCAAGCGAACGACTGCCTGGGAATTTGATCCTTTTTATACTCGGCTACCATCGAACAGCAGTGCAAATAATCAC